CCTCAGTGATCTTCAGAACCTCAGTGATCTTTAGAACTCCTCAGTGATCTTTAGAACATCAGTGATCTTTAGAACTCCTCAGTGATCTTTAGAACATCAGTGATCTTTAGAACTCCTGGGGGTGATGACATCTGCGATGACGTGATGTCACTGTTACATCAACACATAACGTAAAGCTTCAGCTTGAATCATCAGAAACTCTGAACTATGTGTTTGGACGCTGGAGCACAGTGAAGCTGTTGTCATGGTGACCAGGCTCACGGCTGAAGTCGATTGGCCATCTGCCCGGCCATAAAAACACATCACCTATGACAAACGTGGGAACGAGTCTGAGCTGTGACCTCTGACCTCTCTGAGACTGACTGTGGAACTGTAACATCTTTCTCAACAGCTCAGGGTCAAAGGTCGCGCTGACGGTTTGTCATTAAGTGTTGCGGGTGTTCCCCCACTGAGGCCCGAGGACCCTCCAGGGACCTCACAGACCCTGCATAGGTCCACCAGGGATCCAAGCAAAACAGGGCTGACAGAAGAAATTGTGTTTTCCCAGTAGAGTAACACACAGTTTACATCAAACCATTATTTATTAATCATTTACTAACTATTTCTGCATGATCATTTCATGAGTTACTAAAGGTGACTAAAGATGACTTGCATATACGTGAACATAGCACTTATTACTCATCTAAAAATTGCATATTAATGTATATGAATGCTTTGTAAATGATAAGTTCATTAACTAAAGGCTAATAAGTGACTCATGACTGATAAAGTTTAAGTTTTATAAAGTTTTACCAAAACTGTTTCTTCTAATGTAGAGAATCTGTTGTTGTGTTGATGTCTTCAGTTCATCAGCATCTATTGTCCTCGTGTCCTGGAGACGGATCCTCACATGAGACTCTGAGCTTCAGTTACTGCTCAGAAAGTCTCTGTAGTTTGACTCTTGTTGAGTGAAGGACAGAGGACGTTGCTGCTTGTTGACATCGATGAGACAAACTGGATATGAGACAAATCAAATGTTACTGATTGATTGATTTAATCCTGAGGCCTGAACCACAAAGTGACATATCCAGGATTTCTTTATCCAGCTGAACTCAACCTAAAAATCCCAGTCAGGCTAAGTGGTCACATGACACAGGTTATCACCTTGTTAAGTTAACTCAAGTTTTCCTCATGTAGATATGAGCACATGCACATAAAAGGGGCGGGGATTGATGCATATAACCAATCACAGACATGGGCAGTTTGACTAAATGCAGAAAGAACATCTGGTAAAACATTTGGGATTGTGTCCATGTGTAAGTTGTGTAACTCTCTGAAGGAGGCAAGAGTAAACCCTCTCCTGAAGAAACTCCCCCTCAACCCATCTGAAGTAAACAACTACAGACCTGTCTCTCTTCTTCCTTTTCTTTCCAATGCACTCGAGTGAGCCATCTTTAATCAGCTCTCCTCCTATCTTCACCAGAACAACCTTCTCGATCCTTACCAGTCTGGTTTCAAGGCTGGCCCCTCAACTGAGACGGCCCTCATTGCTGTCTCTGAGCAACTTCACACTGCTAGAGCAGCCTCTCTCTCCTCTGTCCTCATCCTTCTAGACCTTTCTGCTGCGTTTGACACAGTGAACCACCAGATCCTTATTTCCTCCCTTCAGGATCTGGGTGTCTCAGGAACCCTGTATCAGAACCTTGTCCTCTCACTACTGGGTCCCTCAAAGTTCTGTCCTGGGTCCTCTCCTCTTCTCTCTGTACACAAACTCTGTCATTCACCCAACCTCTGCAGCTCCTCCAGAATGCAGAAGCTCGACTGGTCTTCAATTTAAGTTCACTCTGCTCCTCCGCTCCCTTCACTGGTTACCAGTGGCTGCTCGCATCCGTTTCAAAACACTTCTTGCTGTGAACTGATCAGGTCCAGTCTACATCCAGGACATGGTCAAACCTTACACCCCAGCCGGTCCACTCTGCTCTGCATCGACCAATCCGCTGCTCCCTCACTGTGAGCTAACCACTCAACAGAATTACGACTGTTTGCTAGATGTGTGGAGGTGAAGTGAAGAAGCCTCTTGATGATAAAATTTAGAATCCCATGATGTGGCCTCTATAATGAGCTTTGATTTGAAACACACTGTCTCTGAGGACACACTGCGACGGAAACCTCTGACGTCACTACTCAATAAAAACACATGGACATATTTTCAGGACCTGACTGAGTGTATTTGTTGTTTTGGGGACAGAGCGACTGAGACGTACTGACTGAGTTAGAGATCAACTGAACCAACCAGACATTGTTTAAACGTCTCTTATCCGTCCCTTTAAGCAGAGTGTGCACCATAAAACATGGTAGAGCCACTTTGGAGAGTGTTCGAGTCCCAGAGAGAGAGAGGGGGGGTTGTCACAAGGTATATATCTGTTAACTATCTATCCCCCAAATAGAGCTCAAAGGATCTTGTGGGTCTCTGAAGACCCTGGTCCTCCTCAGAGACTGGAACGATCCACAGCAGCTCCACGATAACAACATGATGTCATGGTTCAAAGGAAGGGAATGGTCAGTGGGAGGAGCTTTATACAGTTTGATCTCTTATCTCCAACTTAACCTGGAGCCGGTCAGCTGGTAAACATGTTACCATGGTGATTTACCCGATAACAAGGGAACGAGCTTCGTAGGACTGAAAACTCTGAATTAAACCTGAGGTAAGCCTGATAACCACAAATCCTGCTTCATAGTACAGAGCCCAGGTTTGTGTGTCATGTAAGTTTAATGTTTAGACACAATCAGGAAGTGACCTCTGACCTCAGCTCTCAGCTCTTCCTGAAACAGAAACTCTCCCTTACACTGCGTCACTCTGCTGGAGAGCCGGAGTCTGTGTAGGAACTGGAGAACCTGCTGCTACTCGACGTCGACTAAGGAACATGAAGGTGCAGCTGAAGATTCAGCTGCTGAAGTTCTGCTTTGTTCTTTTAAACAGCGTCTTCCTGGTGAGTAACTAACAGCAGCATGTTAATGATGAACAAATGAGTGTGACCTTTGACTTCTGTCTACAGGTTCTGGGTCTGAGCGTCTCCGGCTGTGGTCTCTGGATTCTGTTTGACTCAGGAAGCTTCCTGACCGCTGTCTCCTCCGGTAGCTGACTCTGACTCACATGTTGTAGGTTCATCCTGTGAGGGAAACATGTCACAGCCTTGGTGAGTTGTGTGTGTGATTGAGTCTGTGTTTTTGTGTGTCTGTGTTTGTGTAGTGGAGCTGCGTACAGTAGCAGTGGGGCTGTTGGTGATTGGTGGAGTGGTGACGGCTGTCAGTGTCATTGGATGTGTTGGAGCTGATGGAGAGAACAGAGTCCTGCTGCTGATAGTGAGTCACAACAACACCTGTGATGAACAGAGAACATGGAACAGAGAACATAGAACAGAGAACAGAGAACATAGAACATGCTGACGGTGACTGGGCTCTGCTCTTCCTCAGTACCTGGGTTTCCTCATCGTCCTGGTTCTGGCTCAGGTGTTCGTCACACTGCTGCTGCTCATCAACAGAAACAAGGTGAAACAAGAACACACCTGCTGCGTCTGAAACACAAAGTTAATGTGTTGTGTTCTGACATGTTGTGTTGTGTTGTGTTGTGTTGTGACAGATTGAAGTGGGTCTGAACACAGCAGTGGATCACATCATGTTTAAGTACAGAGGCAGCAGCGTTCAGGACACACTGATGGACAGTGTGCAGCAACATGTGAGTCTGTTTCATGGTTTTTGGCTCTCACTTTTACTAACTAACTTTAACTTTAACTAACTAACACCATCACTAGTTAATTCAGTTTCCTCCTCCGCTCTGACCTGCTCTCACTTTAATTAACTAACACTCATCACCAGTATAGTCGTCAGTACAACTATAGACTGTTTATAAAGTACACACTCTGTAGTACATCACAGTCGGGAGTCACAGTGTTAAAGTGAGGATCTGGATTCATGATCCGACACCATCGACTAATAACTAAATACATGATGGTTAGTTTGTCAACAAAACCATCCCAATAAAAAATGTGTTAGTTCAAGTGTGATGTGGCACAACACTGTTGGTTCGATTCCCTGTTGTCTGATCTGATTCGTGACACAATTGAATTAAACAACATTAATAAATCTGGTTGATTGACAGGGGAGGTGCTGCGGCAGGACAGGGCCTGCTGATTGGCTGAAGAACTCTTACATTCACAGTCTGAACCTGAGCATTCCACACGTTCTTCCGTGTTCCTGTTTCACATCATATCATCGCAGTGTGGACTCGTCCTGGTGCTCGGAGCAGCTCAACTTCACGCAGCCTCCTTTCGGGCGAGGAAACAGTTCGTATGATCAGGTACTGATGTTGTTTTATTTGTTACATTATTTTAAATACTGATGATAAAATTAGGTACTGTTTTTGATTTTATTCTTTATTACGTCGTCTTACATTGTGTTGTCTATTTTACGTCATGTTTTACGTTACGTTGTGTTTTACGTTGTGTTGTTTTATACATTGTGTTGTATGTTATGTTGTATTGAATGGTACATTGTGTTTTACCCTGTATTTCACATTTTGTTTTATGTTGTGTTGTTTGTTATGTTTTGCGTTACGTTGTATTTTACGTTATGTTCTATGTTACTTTTTACTCTGTGATTTATGTTGTGTTATATATTGTGCTTTATGTTATCTTTATATTGCGTTTCATGTGGTTTTACTTTGTGTTATACATTATGTTTTATATTATATTTAGTTTATGTTGTGTTCTACTATGTGGTTGTTAAACTGGGTTTGTCGTTGCAGGGATGTGAGGCGACGCTCAGTGATTGGCTGCAGGAGAACGCTCTGACGATCGTGGGTATGGACGTCAGCCTCATGTTGATTCAGGTGAAAAGACTTGTAAATGTTGTAAATGTTTGTTTCTTCTTGCCAACAGAAATTGTAGGTTTGTAATGAGAGCAGCTGTGTCTAGGTGGCGCTAACTGGACTTAGGTGCTGTTCAGTATAAACTCGTGAATGCGTCTCTCTCCAGGTGCTTCAGGTCGTGGTCGCAGTCGCCCTGTATCGAGAGTTCGGAAGGAAATCCTCTTTTGAAATGATCCAATCCTGATCCTACCGACGGTCTGGACCACAGAGACCCCCTGCTATCACCATGACAACGCTGACCGTATAGGCCCCTCCTACCTGACTCATCACCCTGACAACTAGGGAAGGGAACAGATGTAGCTGATAATAAAAACATTTATTAAATCCTTGTTAGAAAATGTTACTTAAATATATTATTGTGTCATGATGAATTATTTACTTTTACTGCTCCACCTTTAATTTACATGTTCAGATCAATTAATAATAGAAACATTTTTTTTAATTTGTGCATAAAGTTAATTCAAATGAACGTCTTCCACAGTTCAGGAGATTTAGTTTCAACAATCTAACACGAAAAACAACTAAACAACTAAACATTCACTGAAACTTGATCAGAGTTCATTTATGTTCTTCTACTGAACTGTAGATGTTTATGTTCTCTATTTGCTATCATTTACTCTTTGTATGTTTTATATGCTTTGGGTTGAGTTTCATCTTCAACTTAATAATAATCATTTGTCAGACTCTGACCCTCTTGTGACCAAAAGCCTAAAACTGCTACAACCTTTACCAATTGATGTGTGGAAGGGAATCAGCTGAGCCACCAGCTGATGTGGGCGGGCTTTGAGATCAGCTGCTGTAGCTGTCAGGTGAGCTGAGCTTGACCTCTGGGCTACCTGAACCGCTCAATTTCAATCAGGACCAAGGAAAGAAATCTTCATTTGAATCTGCATAAGTTACATTTGGCGCTATGGCTTTGTTCTGGGGTCTTCCTGCCCTCCTACGTGCCAACATGGAAGCAGCAGCAAGACCTCGAAACTAACATACAGGCAAACCTACGTGGGGGAGCCAGTAGGAGGAGCTGGTTTGTCCAACAAGGAAGCCAGTTATACTAAATTGATTTATTAGTGGTACTGTGTTATGCATTTACACATGGAGTTAAATGTTGCACCCTTTGAGGTGTGCATCCTGTTGTTTGTTGAATTTGGTAGTAATGTGGTCACGCCAGGTCATCAAACATGTTACGTCTTGTGCAGATTGGACAATGTGTAGTTAAATTAGTGGAACCTTCTGTTTCACTGTTATATGGCCACAGGCTGCTTCGTTTAAATTGTGTAGGGGGAGCTATTGAGCCATATTGCCACAACCGTATTCGACACCACACCACAGAAATGCACTCTGACAAAAACTTAGTTTGCACTGACCAAATCTGAAGTTGATCCGACCAATCCTTCAGGAGGAGGTTGCCAGAGGCACAGTATGTGTGAATCACCAAAAATGACCTCTTAATCCAAAAATGGCCAGGCCGTGAACATGAGTCCTTGCAGTGGTTGCTGCTTGAGCCCCCAATAAGCCAGCATAGGGCACTCATATCTTCAAGTCGAGGATGGCTTGAGCCTTAGACCACAGGTAATGTTCACAGGCAGAAGATGACCATCATCCGGAGGTAAGAACGGAACTCCGGTGGAGACTGGAACTTCATTTTCCAGCGTTCTCTGCAGGAATGTGATGCCCTCGATGGTTACTGGAGTGATGGCATCGATCTGCGGTGTGGCTGCATAGTGGGCTGAGGATGAAGACAAGCCGCCTGAGCTTGGAAAGAATAAATGTTGATGGCACTGAACTGGACTCCAGGGCTTGGATTCTGGAATTCATGCTGGATAAGGCTGACTGGAAGGGATGTCCACTATGTCTGTGGAGTCGTTGCTGGCACTCGCGCTCATTTGGCCAGCAGAGCAGTGGTCGGAGCTGGAACTGCAGTGGAGTTGTGGCTGCAGTGTTTCCTTTTCTCAACAGCTTTCTTGGGGAAGTGAGAGTTGGATACATCCGCTGGTTGGGCTCAGTGCGAAGGTTTTTCATTAACAATGTGAAGGTTTCTGATGCAAGGCCCCAAATTTGAGCTGTGATATTATTTTTAAACAACTGGCACTGGCCATTCAATGATACTGGGAGACTGAAGTCAATCGATGCAATTGTTAGGTTAATTTCACCTGGATATCAGAAATCTACCCTGGGTATGTTGAACCTGCTTCATAGTGAAGCCCTGGGTGAGTCCAGGTGTGTTCCCTGGTGAAGTGATGAAGCTGAGGAAGTTTTAGTGATTGGCCAGTGTTAGCATTTTAGCTGCTAGCTCAGCAGTTGCAAAGGCCTTAAAAACAGATGTAGCTTCAGGGCTTTTCACACCTGAAGGTCTGAACTATCCATTATAGTGTTTTCACACCGAAACATGGTTCTGTTTAATCTGGATCGAATCCACCTGCTGTGGTCCGAGGAACCTTTCACACCTGATATTTTAGTTCAGACTGAACTGATGAAGGTGTGAAAGAGGGGGGTTGAGGGGCAGTGAAGCCATTTTTATTTTATTTAAAGCTTTATTTAAAAATATCTCAGTAAAACAATTCAAATGATTCAAGTACTTTTCAAATCAATTAAAAGCCGAGTGAAGTACAACAGTATAAAAGTAGCAGCAGTGCCATCTGGTGTTCAATCCAAGAATTAACAAGTCATTAGAACCAAAAAATTAAAAACATAGATCAATCGATAGAAAATCTGTTCAATTGAATCTTTTAATGTTATAAATATGATAAATATATTAACATATAACAGTGAATATGTTTGACAGAATCTGTTTCTTTTAAAGTCATCGGATGTTTTAATGCAGCAGATTCAATCTCATAATAAAATCATAAATAAATGATAATAAATAATAGTGTAAAGAATTCTGTCTTGAGCGTCTCACTGGTTCAAATATATCAGTCCACTGAAAAGACAAAAATCAATCAGTGTGATATTATCTGCGCAGTGCTGCCACCTGCTGACTCCAACACTGAACACACCGCAGGGATTTACGTACAGAGTCAAAGTTTGATGGAGAAGAAGAGGAGGAAGAGGAAGGACACACTGCAGAGTCCTGGTGTGATCCGCCCTGAAACACACACAAACACATTCAGTTAGTGTTGTGTGTGAACACATCTTAACACTGAACCCGTCCACATAACGATATAAAACTGACAGTGACCTCACACAGATGTGTTATCAATCAATTAATCAGTTTATCAATTAATCAATTAATCTCTTTCCTTTCCCAAATTTCTTTTTATTTCTTCCACCTTCCCTTCTCTTCATTTTCTTTTGTTCTTCAGTCAGCTTCCTGATTCTCTCTCTCTTTTGTTTTTCCTTTTTTTCCTTTTTCTACCCTCTGTTTTTTCCTCCCCTCTCTTCTGTCATCAGGTGAAACTGACGCTGCATGAATCATCCAATCAGGGCTCAGATACTGACCAGGTGTTGCAGCAGGTCGTGGTTCAGTGTGACAACTCGACACAGAGCGTCGACATCAGGGGAGAGAGAGACGAGCGGCTCCACACACATCTGATACTGAGACAGTCTGTCGAGCAGCTGGGAGCCCTGAGGACCAATCACATTCAAGAATCAGAAGGTTTAGTTTGTCCAGTCTGAGCTACTATAAAAAAACATGGCTGCCTCCGTAGAGAGGAGCCAACTTTCACCTAAATCTTCTCACGTGACGTTTTCTTCTGAGAGACTTGATTTGAAATCTTGTTTCTGATTTTCAAAAAGCTGTAGCGCCACCATCAGGACAAATGGTCACATTTACTTTGTGACATGTAATAAACAGTGCAGCCTGTAGGGGCACTGGCAGCACATGTTCTCAGTCGTTTATAGCTGAGAATTTTAGAAATGCTGATTATGAATGCTGTTAAATTCTATGGTGTTCGAGTGGATCGGCTGCGATGTGAAGCCAAAGCTCACGTGTCCCATGCTCACACTGTACCGTCACTGAGGACACACACCGTCACTGAGGACACACACCGTC